GGTTTAGTGAGAGTGCAAACTGTCACATTGCCAGATAAAAAATGTAAAAAGATACATTTTAAAATCATTTCATTGATTTCTTTTTTTTTCAAACAGCATCTGGCTGGAAGCGTCAAGTTGTTCGTCCCCAAGCCACCTACTGTCACGTTTCTATCTTGCAGCTGGATCTGCAGGCATTGTACACACGGTTTGGTGACAAAGAGAAGGAAGCACTCTCCAGCTTTGGCTTCTTGAAAGGGGAGGATTTTAAGTTAGAGAACACAGTCACACCCATGCCAGCTCAGATCAATGTAAGTATCATTGTGTTGATACCTACCTTTTATTTTGTCGACAGGCCATGTCAAATTTGTTGTGTGGGTGTCATCTTAGTCTGGAGCCTAGAAGTCACTTTGAAGACACTAAGACACAACAAAGGGAGTCTGGGGCAGCAGACCTTTTTGAGAGATACAGACCTTCAAACAAACCTTGCTCTACAAACTGTCGACATTTTTCACCCTCCCTGTCCCTGTTAATCAGGAGATCAAACTAACTGACAGATTGGCATTATAAGCTGAGTGTACTCTCTGTTAGGTTTGTGAAAATAGAAGTGAATAAACAGCTTCTGACTACTTGGAAACTGATTGCCCAGTGCAGACATTGCTTTTGCTACAGTTCTTTATTTTATAACCGTATGCTGCTGGGGAGCCCGGTTTCAGGCACATAGGCTTTATACACGAAACCAAGGAGCCTCAAACCAGACAAAAGAGCTAGGCCTTGTAACAAACGATCGTAATCGGAACAAAAGACCGAGCTGCTGGGAATTGCCAACATTTTGTTCAGTTGTCAATAGCGGAGGAAATCTGTCTTTATTTTGAGAGATTATACCACTGTTTGTGGCATTCAGCACGAGCAGATTACCACCAGGGACAAAAGTGCTCCAGAGATGAGCGATGCAATACCACTGCACGTTAATCTGGCCCCTATTGAAAGATGTCAGCAGCGCACTGTGCCAGTTTCAGGAACAAAAAAAAGTTACATAACACTGCACAATTTGGGCTCTTTTTACAAGGCGGCAGGCCTGGCTGAAACACTCAGGCATCAATAATGCTGTCTGTCAGATTAGAGTAGTCACCAGACAGTTATTCGTGTAGGTGTAAAAGGCCAGTAAATGAACCTATGATTTTATGAAGAATTTGAAAGCGGAAAATCTTGAAAATCTCCCGGTTTTACATCATGCAACTTCAACTTCCGACCAGCAGCAAGTGGTTAAGGCCCTGTGTGCATAGCCACTATCGTCGGTACACTCATGGAGCTATTAAACACAAGGAGTCAGCACACACAGATCAGAAGGGTCAATGATGGCCACTGCAAGGACTGCACATGCTGCAAGGACAAAACAAATACCGCGCCGCTTGTGGGCTACAAGGAATGCTCAGAGTTGCATTTGCAAAGGATCGTGGGTACCGCGCATGCGTATCTGTAACACTTCCACATGTTCAACAAGGCCAGGTTGAAACGGAAACCATCGTCATCGGAGACTTAAATTTCGATAATTTTAGTGATTATTTTGATTTTCCAATGACAATGAAAGTATGGTTACGTCGTTACATCCCCAAAACGTCTCTCTTAACAATAAACAGAATTACTAATACAAACTTCCCTAAAAAACACAAGAAAACTGAGCAAATGTAGCTGGTCCAGCGGAAAATAAAGAAACACACAAAAACATGGGAAGATTCGTCGTCCTTTCTGTCATTTTCCACAACTGTCTCGGCATGAAACCTCACCACGTTGTCACATGCATTTCTGCAGCATGTTTCTACCTTTTAATCGTAGGAACCACTAGGATTGGAACTTATGATATAAATATTGCAGTTCATATTTTGGGTATTTGTTCTCTACCGCCGGAAATGCAAAATGTCATACATGTAACTGACCTTAAAAACATCCAACTTTTGCCAAATAACCATCAGTTGGAGTTTCCAAGCGCATCTGCGGGGATCATTCGCTGACTCCTAAGGACTACAGAAGAGAACTGCGCATCTTCTTCGTGCATCTTTTCCACCATTTATTTACTCCAGTATGCCACAGTAAAACACGGCGAGTCTGTGGGTTACCAACTACCTGGCGGTGGCAATCACTATGTACAAAGAATGTCTAGGGTCTTGAACACTGGGGCCTGTGACCACACCTTGCCTGTAAAGCCAACCAGAGCAGTTAATTGGATTACGGTCTGTAGGGACTTCGTTCTTACTCCTTGTGTTTAATAGCTCCATGGTACACTGTTGCAAGGAGATGAGTTATGAACGACAGACCAGTTTGGAATAACTTTGCAAAATTGGGATTTGCCAAACTTGCAACCTGTTTCATTCTTAGTTGACAGAAAGCTGGATGGTTGATTCATGTGTAACCTCACATCTTTACAGCAGTTTTAAACACGTTGTTCATTACATAGACACCAAACAGGTGTCTAGCCATGATTGTGGTTACACATCTGTGCCAACGCATTGAGATAAAGTCATTTCTCCAGCATTGTGATCTTGCTTAATTCTTTGTTGTACACAGAATAATGCCAACAACTTACAATTTGCATTGGATGAGGTCGCTGCCCCCAATCAGAGCCAAGACCAGAGACTTCAGGTTTCAGCATTTAGCCAGCCGTTTGATGAGAGTTTATCAGTTAGTGATGACGTATCATGTTACAGCCAGTCGTCATCAACGCCAAGTCTGTCATTACATGACTGAAGGAATAATCCTTAAAATGTCACAAGGATTTGGAAGCAGAAATAGACATGCACAGAATAGTTACTTTGTTTAGCAAAAGCTGCATTGTAAGAAAACATGAGTATATCAGTTAACCTATGTTTGTTTACCGAGCAAATCTTGAAGTCCGGATTTTTTTTTTCTTTTGGCATTGCATATGAAATAATCCTTTTTATTTTGTTTTCTTTTTGTCTTTACTTTGAAGGAAAAATTATGAATTATTTCAAAAAATACAAAGGGTCATTCTGTTCACATGTATCAGAAAAAGTAGAAAGCTGGAAAAATTATGGAAGAATTATTGATTTTCAGAAGTATTGGGTTTTTATAAGCATTAGGTATTACAGTTCAGTTAAACAGACTACTTGTTTAGGACAGTGGTTATAGATTTCTTCACTGATGAATGAGTTGATCTGAAGACACACTTGTCACATGAAGGAGCATTCCAGTGACCATGCACCATTACATACCTCTTAGAATGTGTGCCTAGCTATGCTCAGGTTATGACTTTCAGCCGTTAACGGCTGAAGACTTTGTGGTCGTTGGTGATATTTGTTTGAAGACCTTTCTCATATTACCTAAAAAACAACACTAGAGGATCCTTTGCTTTGTGATGTTGTTTTTAAACAAGAAAATCCACATCCTCCTTGAGTGATCCCTGTTAGCCACTTCCCAGGTTGCATTGTGTAATTGGGGAGTGATCCCTAGCTGTGTGGTTTAATGGCTTCTGACTAGCGCCCCCCCCCGGGCAAAGATATTGACAAATGGATAGAGCCACCAATGTAGGGCTGGATAGTTCAGTTCGTAGAGCATCGATATGGTATTCCGGAGGTCACAGGTTCAAATGCCACTCTGGTCAATTTCTTTGTTCATCTTTATAATCATGTGTAAGCACCAAGTGAGTTTCCCTATATAGTTTGTTTCATGGTTTATAAACACAGTTATCCTGTTTGTTTTTTAGGGTTCAGTTTGGTAATTTATGATGAGTTATTTTCAAAATTGTAAATTGCAAACATGTTCTGGACACATTTAAAAGTCGAGTTTTCACAAAGTTGATTGCCTTCTGAAATAACATTTAAGCTTGATGATTTGAGTTGAGAGAGAAGACAAGTGCAGGCAGATTTCCTTCCTAGTGTGTGGTGCACTAAGCAAAATTATTATACTACTCAGTATGCCACAAACATTCATTGAAAAACAGTGGTTGAAATTACTCAAAGTCCTTTGAATCGTTGAACTCACTTGCTTTCAACTTGTGCAATCATGGCATTAGCTTTCTGTGGGCCAAGTCATTTATCTGTCAAGTGTATTTATTTTATTGGGATCTAAGTATTACTTAATTGCTTTGAGCAATTGGATTCTGGTTATGCTGGAAATGATTTGTGTTGTCTGCAAGTACCTTCTAACTGCTCTAACGTTCATCCAGATTCCTGATCTGTAATAGTCTTAGATTTCATGATAGTGTCCAGATGGCATATCATTGACTGTGATCTTGTCTGAAAGGCATAAAATCCTGAGGGCGAGTACAAGTAATCTTTGCTCCACAAAAGCATTTTTTACTGGTCTTGTCACTGAACCCTTATGTGGACATTTTTTAAATAACAGAATGAAGCTCTTGAAAATTATTTTTGTGAGTTTGGAAAATTTTTGATATGCAGATATCTCCACGAATGAAAATTTTGCGTTTACTGCCTACCTCTGTTCTGCTTTTTAAGTATTACATAAAGTTACACATTACTGTATTTGTAATTCATAACCTTGTGTTCATTTATTTATTTGTTTTGCCCACAGCATGTCCAAAGCTGCTTTATCATACTTTGTATACATGTACATTTGTAAATTCTATATTTGATTTATGCACGGTGTGCTGTATTTATAACTAGGAAAACATCACTGACACATGGAAATTTTTTTTTAAAACGGTTGTCGTGGCATAGGATATTGTTGTCAAGGGTAAGGGTGGATTTGTGTTGACAAACAGAACTGTGAAAGACTGTGAAAAAAAAATCTAGAATTCATCATTCAGTTGACTGTTGGCAAGTTTATGCATCTTGTCCTGTATTCATCTTGGTGGAATTGGATGATTTGCAATACTACGTTGTCATTGGACAAAAACCACTGAATTGTCGGCAGACAATACCACTGAATTGTCGTCAGACAGTACCACT